CCCCAAAACCCCAAAACCCCAAAACCCCAAAACCCCATTAGTAAGAATAATCAGCTTATCATAATGGGAAAAACTTGCCTTAAAAAGGAAATTAATTATAAATAAAACTGAAGAAAGTATATAATTAGTACTAGGCACTAAGCTTGACACTCATTAAAACTCTCACTAAAATGCTCTAAGCATTCAATTTTACAAAGTTAAATGCTCTTTTATTTACGAAGTACTTGCTTATTTATTCAGCTTACTGATTTTAGCCGTTTTTCTAATTTTTTATTTTTTGAACTTACAAATTTGAGGTTGTTCTAGTTGCATTCAAATTGTACAGGTATCATAGTTTTAAAAATTTCTTCGAAATCATCTTGATTAATATCATCGAGTGAGTTATTGCCATCCAATGCCTCAAAAATTTAATCTGAATCTATCTTTATTTTCTTCCTACGATTGATTTGCTACTATTAAACATTTGAGTTTGCTCTCTAGATATTAAGGAATTAAGCCTAAAGTGGATCTAAACCTCCCTCTTCTAGTTTTATTCTAGTAAGACTTCCTTTCTTTTTCTTAATGACAAGCTTTTTCTTTTGACCTCTGGCACTATCCTGGTGTTTTAGTTCTGCTTAATTGTTCTAGCCGCCTTACAACTATTTTTTCCTCCTTGTTAACTACTAAGCTGAATGCGGTTCTACATGCCTATTAGATTTCAAACCCCCAGAATTGTACTCACTTTCCTCCATTATAACATTATTTTTATTCTAGGTATTTATAGTCATTCTCTTTTAATGAATATTTTGAGAAGAAAGCTTTCCAATCTCAATTTAGAGATTTTGCGGATTCTTTTTATGCTAATCTTTGTTAGAAATCGAATTGGCTATTGAGCTAGTGTTATTTCCTGAACGAATTTCTATTGAATTCATCTGTACATTTTATAAATTGAAGAGCTGATTATTGATATTATTACCAGATCCGATTAATTAATTGTTTAAAGGATTAATCATAGGAGTTGATGGGTCTGGACTATGGATCCATTCTAATTAACCTAGAAAGTTATTTCTATCTTTGATAGTTTAAAGTTGCTTTTTTATATATCTATAATCAGGTTTCTATTTAGCTGAGCAGGACTGGATGTAGGATAGCATAGAGTTAAACTCAGGATCTAAATCTGTGCACAAAGTATCTGGGTCTCGCTAGTGGATTACTTGTTAAACCTCTAAGTGAGCTTGCATATCCTCACTTAATACCGGTACATTCTTTGCCCAAGGTAAATAACCCTGAATAAAGTATATTAGTATGTAGACCAAGGATTCTAAGTCATCTTTTGCACCTAATTTTCCTTTAACAAGTTAGTTATTGGATGCAAAATATGGTGTTCCCTTGAATGTGTAAGCAATTTTTTAAGCTTAATTTTGATTTAAAGTTAATCCGAAATCAATTAGAAAAACTGTATTAGACTTGAAGTTTGTCATTATATTCTATGGCTTAAGGTCATTATGAATCAATCCACAGTTGTGCATTATCTCCAGACGCTCTATTATCTGCAATCCAAGAGTAATGACAGTCTCCATCTTAAATTTCCTCTTATATTGCATAAATAGGCGTTCTAAGTCAATATCATACTTTGGCATGATAATGTAGTTTAGCTTCTTGTCTGAAAGATATCCATTTGCAAGTAATTTTGGGAATAAGCTTGCTATAAATAGTAAAATAAACATCAATATTAAATCTCATTATTTTAATTAAAATCTTTTTCTGGGATTAATCGAGTTGTTAATCTATCCCTGCTCTTTCCTTTATGCTCTAATTAGTGATCACAAATTATATCACGAGTTATACAAGTTATTGGAGACTTTTTTTGTGATATAATCTGATCATATCACTTGAACAAAATTATTATTAGATTCTGATTTAATCAGACTGATATAATTTTTTAATTACTTACCTCTTACTCCTGCAATTCTCTTTATAGTCTTCATTGCATCCACTTCATTTTCGTACTATCTTGTCGCTTCATCGTTGTTTAATTCACTCTATTTGAATATAAAAATGAATGGGATCATTACAAATTTGATTGCTACTTCATATCCTTTCTCAATATGCTTAGCCACAAATATATCACCAAACCCACCTCCCTTGATATAATTTTTGAGAATATATTTCGACTTAATAATATAATCTGCTTCAGGATTGAAGTTATTGTTAATGTTCACTGTAGAGTCCTATTAGGTTTTGATTTTATTATTTGCTAAATGAGCATTTGACGACTATTTTCTATTGTGGTTGTTTGCCTATAATCATCATAAAAATTAGATTTACAATTTTCTCTTCTTCGATTGATCTCAAAGTTTGTAATTTTTACTCTTTAAAAGACATTGATAATTATTAATATTTTCAATCCTTAATTTCTCAGTTAATTTACTGTATGTGGGGTTTTGGGGTTTTGGGG